TAGAAAACTATAGTGAGGGAGGCAAGCATGAGTAATAAAAACACAAAAACTTTGCACAATTCCCTGCGTGTGTGTTTGCTAGACAATCTTTCACTGTTACAGCTGAAGCCCCTATGTCACTTCTGGAGAAAATGAAAGTAATCTCCATTTCTCTCTCTTGACGTGTGATGTTTCCTCTCCTCTCGGCTGTTGTAGCGATTCTTGTGGATCCAGACAAAAGCGTGTCGTCAAAGCGGGTTTTAACTACCGCGTCTATCATGGATCAGCCGTCACCGCTACCATTTATCAATGTTACTAACAGGTGAACAGCGCCAGCACACCAGAGCCAATCGCAGCCCTTTCTGTTGAGCGTGTGACCAATCATAGGTGTTTAACAACTTGCTTAACAACGATCAAAAAGCAAGTGGGATACATTTGTTTATTTGCTATAAATGCTCATGTTGTTCTGTGTATGTACTTGAGTTTTGTTTGATGCAGTGTTTTGTTTCAGCAGGTACAGTTCATATATCTGACCGCTTGTATTGAACGACAAGATTGTATTGTATACATTTAAAAGTATTTAAAAATGATATATTTTAATAAGAACTGTTGCGCGGTGAAGTAAAATATAAAATTGTGTATGGAAAGCATCGTCAATGCACTGATTCACCAAGATATTACATTGAAATGAATTGATAGCATGATAATCGTAACCGAAACAAACCAGGAGACCAGTGTAGGTTCACACCTCTACTTTTTGCTGGGCGTTTGGGTTCATTAGGGGCCGATCACAGTGAACATGTTTTTTTTGCCTTTTTTTAATGGTTTACAAACGGCCGAGACCGTTTTGCATGCTGCTTATGTGCCCTGCGAACCTCGTGCTTTAACCGCATGCCACACCTTGCATTTTAGCTGTTGCGCGCCATGTGCTCGCAGTTGAAAAAGGTAAACTCTGAGCGGAAAAAAACTATTTACGTCAGTCTCGTCTGGTTCATTCTCCAATCAAATGAAAGCAGAGGCGGGGTTTCCGTTAAGGTGCCTGCAGTATTTGTGTTGTCAAGACAACTACAGATACTTTTGAAGATGGAGGAGAGACTAATGGTTACTGTATTGAGTGTTCCCGATGCTATATGACTCACAAATTATGAATATCACAATATTATTACATTTTAAAATCATATTATTATCAACAGCAACACTCGAGCACAATACACAACTGATTTAGTCATTTCCTATTGACATAAAAGGCACACTCCGCTTATTATTTTATTGTCAACAAAAAAGGCAGTGTGGTGCGCCTCGTGTTTTTAAAACAAAAAAGCAAGTTCTGTGTGATCGGCCCCTAAGTAAACTATTCAAAACATCCGCCTCTCAACGCAAAAAGCACGTTTGGTGTGATCAGCCCCTAAAGCATTGTTATTTTGCTTAGTTATGTGCCTTGTCAATCATTCTATACACATTTTTTTCATATTTAATTTTCTACCATATTGGAGCAAAAGGTTAATCTTGTCATTCATGGGTCTTCCTTGCAGAGAAATCTCCTCAGGCATTTGCATAATTATGCATTCAGAAGTTAATGACCAAACACGTCTTTATAAAAGTTTACGTTGTAGCTGATATAACACAAAAACGTGAAATAAATTATAATAATTTAGCCTGACATGTTTACCATTGCAAAAATATTTTAAATGGTTCTTCAAATAAAATATATTGTGTTTAAAAAGTAGTTTTTTAAGCCAGACATTTAAAAAGGATTTATTTTAGAGGAGTGATATCGTGAATATCGTGAAACTGTTTTATTTCTATCTAAGGTTATCATACCATCAGAATCTTATCCCAGGCCATGGCTAGTTTGTAATTCTAATCGAATTGTTTTTTTTTATTCAATTGTGGCCAATATTAGCCATCAAGAGTGTGCACAGATCTAAACTTCAGACCAAACAGACCCTCCATGTAACTTTGGAATACTCATTTCAACATATGGCATATAGATACACCAAAAATGCAATCTCGATAATTATTTTCTATATTAAATGATAACAATATATATTTTGATATTAGTTGTTAATGCTTCCAGGTTTAAAAGTCCCGTCATCCCAGACAGCCCGCACTCACATTACATTCGGGCCTGGGCACGCTTACGTCATCGATGATGCACTGTTCAGTAAGAGCTTGCGCTCAGCACAATAGAGATTTCTCTAGTTATATCGTTTTAGTTGTTTGAGATGCAGTGACATGCAGTCAAATATTTCGCCAAACAGTCCTTAGGGACGTGGTGACAAGCAGTCAAATATTTCGCCGAACAGATCAGCCACTTTTGACAATCATCAACCATCATAAAGCCCTCGTGCTGCAGGAATTAGGAGGTTTGCTGAAGGTGCAACTGTCGTGCAGTGCGGGGTTTGCGTCTTTAATAAACTATGACCGTTTGCATTCACTTAACAGTAAGAATGATTGATAAATCCATTTGAAGCAGTCCCGTAACACTCACGTCTCGCTTTCAGTTTCGGGCTCAGGCGCGTTGTGCACTCAACACTACAAACGTACCACGCCAAAGCCCAAGTGAACCGCGCTCAAGCACACCTCTTCCAACCAGGCCAAGGCCGGCCATGTGAACCGTGCCTTAGCCCGATTCAGAGCACTCACACTTCTCAAAAGATCCTGGAAACAGGCCTGGGCACGGTTCAGATAGCATAGTGCGAGTACGCCCTAAATGGCATAACATATTTTCAGCCCATACATTTTTGGTGACCGAAAATCCGGTACATTTCTAATAAACACATTTTTAGATTCCCATTGTTGCACATTTCAGCTGTGTGATTGGCTCTTAGATCATTATAGAGTCAAAAGGTCCAAAGCTTATCATTGTTCTAGATATAAATTTTGACGCAATTCGATGAAATATCGTTTATCAGCCCAGTCCTATTTCAACATACTATATGATTTTGGGACTTTATAAGCAAATTGGGATGCAGCATGTGTGTTTTTTATTCCAGTTGACTCACCTGGCTACAGGGTCATCCTCCTGTGCGGCGGCTTCTTCACGGCCCGCTGGTGTAGGCAACAGGGCTCTGCGCTTGGCCCGCTGATATATAAACGGTTTCATGACGGGGTCTGGCAGTAGAGGCGCAGATCTTCTTAGAGGACTCCGGTCCCTCTCTCCAGACTTTGAGCTGGCCTGTTGCTGTTCTGCAAGCACTTGCTGTCCTTGTGCAAAGTAGTGCGCCCTTGCTGCCTCAAAGATAGCTGCTGGGTCAGCAGCCCCCAGAGCCCCATAAGCTGGGGTTGCACTGTAGAGAGCCGGTGCTACCGTATACGCTGGGTTAACGGCAGCGGCGCCAGCCGGTACCTCCATACTTGGTGCTGCAGTTAGGAAAACTGGATTTCCTACTGCTTGTGTGTAAACCTGTGGATAGACATATGGTAATATTTATTAAATCAATATATGGTGATATCGCGGTAAAAGCCTTAGCATATGCTTAATTGGCAGCAAGGAATATGCTGAAGCTTTCATCACAATATATGGTATTAGACCAGATTAATCTTTAGCAACTAATCGCAACAAGAAAATGTGATCCTACCAGAAAGCCTACCTGTGGACCATATGCAGCAGCAGCTGCTGCTGCCGCCGCGACCGCACCGCTGGTCATCTGCCCGTACAGCGCAGGGTTAACAGTGCCATAGGCTTGCGCCGCAGCTGCAGCCGCACTACTGTTCAGCGCTTGATTTGCAACCGACCCACCGTAGAGCTGATTGGCAACCGCTGTCCCGTACACTTGACTAGCTAGCGCTCCATAGACAGCTGGTGCCACGGCGGCTCCACCTTCTGCCCGTGCACCGGCAGCTGTGAGTCCAGTCAGAGCAGCGTAGGTGGGGTCAAAGGTGGAGGTGTTGTAGACTGAATTGTGGACGCTCTGTTGTACCTGCAGTGGAAGGCCGGCAGCAGCAGCAGCGGCAGCTGCTAACACAGCAGCTTGGCTTTGGTACTGCTCCAGGGTGGGTTTACCAGCTGGACATTCACCTGCATAGTGACCCTGTTTACCGCAGCTTACACATGGGATTTTCCCAGTGGGAGTCTGCTTGCTTGGCTGAACTTTTGAGAGCTCCACCGATAGCGGTCGTCCTTTGAAGGATGTCCCGTGCAGTGCTTCAATAGCCTGTAGTGCATCTTCCTTGTTCTCCATGTGTACAAAGGCATAACCTGTGGAAAAATAACATACTACTTTATTATTATTTTATAACTCAGGGTTCCTACATTTTCATGAACAGCTTATTCAAGGGGTTTAAGGACTTTTTAAAGCATTTTTAATTTTAAATCAAGTGCCTCTGTAATTCATACCTCAACATATGTAGCACCATGAAAGTCTTTACTGTACTTAATATTTCATCATTTATTTTCTTGTCGGCTTAGTCCCTTTATTAATCCGAGGTTGCCACAGCGGAATGAACCGCCAACTTATCCAGCAAGTTTTTATGCAACGGATGCCGTTCCAGCTGCAACCCATCTCTGGGAAACATTCACCCACACATAAACTCATTCACTACGGACAATTTAGCCTACCCAATTCACCTGTACCGCATGTCTTTGGACTGTGGGGGAAACCGGAGCACCCGGAGGAAACCCACGAGAACGCGGGGAGAACATGCAAACTCCACACAGAAACGCCAACTGAGCCGAGGTTCGAACCAGCGACCTTCTTGCTGTGAGGCGACAGCACTACCTACTGCGCCACTGCCTCGCCCACTTAATATTTCACTTACACTAAAAAGTTTAAAGTGATATTCAAAAATTGACTGTTTTACACAGTCATGTTCAATGCAGGTGACACGATACTGGAATTCAGTACTAATGTGTACTGAAAATTTGTAGATTTAGTAAAAACACTAATTTTTCACTAACAATTGAGCGCTGTTGACCGCTGATTTGCCAGTTAAAATAAAAAATAAAAAAAACACTATTTGTCTTTTATGCTATTCAGGAGCCACGTGCACCCACTGACAGGTTAAATCTGCTACTCTCCCGATCTTATTCAAGTTCAGGTTGCTTTGTTGGCATGACATTTTGTAGAGTATTGCCAAACATTTTAGATGTATAAAATATGTAACCTACTGATATCATCAAATTAATAAAATATACAGCAACTGAGAAATAAAGAAAAGAAAAAAAATTATAAAAGCAATCTCTAAAAATGTAAATAATTACAAGAATAAATCGTGTAGACCCATTTCTTATGGTGTACAAATATTCTGCAGCCAATTTAGATTTGATTTCGTCCTCTCCAAGTATTTAGTCAAGTTTTTCTGAGTCGTTTACACTAAATAATTATTTAGCGGCCGCAAGTAAACATGGCGACAACCATCTCACTTTATAGGACACGTTTATGTGAACTGGTAAAACTTCTGTTTGAGATTATATCTCATTAACATTATTTTTCTTAACCATTTCGCAAATATTTTAACTTGTTTTAAGAAAGCAATCACTTAATTTTGAGGTGTTTTTTTTTCAGAAAACAAGACAATTTCTTATATTATTTCATGTGTCTAGTATATACAGTTGAAGTCAGAATTATTAGCCCCCCTTTTGATTTTTTTTTTTCTCTTTTAAATATTTCCCAAATGATTTTTAACAAAGCAAGGAAATTTTCACAATATGTCTAATAATATTTTTTCTTCTAGAAAAAGTTTTATTTGTTTAATTTCGGCTACAATGAAGGCAGTTATTAATTTTTTAAAAAACATTTTTGGGACAAAATTATTATTATTTATTATTTTTTCAATAGCCTACAGAACAAACCATTGTTATAAAATAACTTGCCTAATTACCCTAACCTGCCTAGTTCACCTTATTAACCTAGTGAAGCCTTTAAATGTCACTTTAAGCTGTATAGAAGTGTCTTGAAAATATCTAGTCAAATATTATTTAATGTCATCATGGCAAAGATAAAACAATCTTCCCTCTGTTAAACAGAAATTGGGGGAAAAAATAAACAAGGCCCTAATAATTGAGGGGGGCTAATAATTCTGACTTCAACTGTAACTTGATTAAAATATTTAGATATTTGGATTAAAAACAGGACAAAAATACTTAGTTTTTTATTTAATTATTATTATTATTGTTGTTGTTATTATAACAGCTCAGGGATGAGCTTTTTTGAATAAATGCTTGGAAATTAATGTTTTTTTATCAAATTCATTGATTAATCAGCAAAAATAACTGACAGATTAATCGTTTATAAAAATAATCATTAGTTGCAGCCCTAATTCAGGTGCAGTAACTGAAAAATAAAAAATTACTAATATTTCAATAAAACTCATTGTTATTAAAGTTACAATTCATTATGCCTGAATGCTTTTGCATCATGATCATGATACAGTCGACAGGCTTTAAAAATGCATGCAAATGACAAAATAATGCAGACTCAACATTGCATATTATTGCGATGTGTATTGACATTGACATCACATTGCAATACCGATGCTAAAACAAAATATTGTGCTTTATTAAGATTGTAGAGAAATGTAGAGTAGTAGGAGAAACTACCTGATACTCTCGTACCTTTCACTTTATCGCACTCCAAAACTTTTCCAAAGGTCTGAAACAGCTCCTGGAGGTCTTCGGTTGTGCACATGCTGCTCAGATTACCCACAAACACCTTGGTTGAGTGGAGTGGACGTCCTCGGGACTCCTCCACCACCAGGTTACGGCCTTTAAACTCGCGGCCATTAAGCTCCCGGATGGCCCGCTCAGCAGCGCCCTCTCCCTGCAGGTGTACGAAAGCGAACTGCCGCAACACGCTGCAGCTCACCACCTGTCCATATGACTCAAAAATGGCAGAAAGTTCTTCTTGTGTGGTGTCCAAGGCCAGATTCCCTACGAAGAGCTTAACCGTGTGGCCCTTATCCATTGTGCTGAAACAAGTGGAAAAAACATTTAGATCACAATCAAGTTGAGCTTTATTGTCATTCCCGCTACAAAGAGTGGAACGAAAAGAGCGCTTTAAAGCTGCAATTCATCAGTGGATTGCTTGATTGTCGGCTTATAGACAAACCAGCTGATAGACGGGGCTTTAAAATGCTCCAGTGTCCCCGTATCTGTGGTTACACAGAGTAAACATCGGTGAGTTTGGTGAACTGATGACCTTCACAGTAGGGCTGGGCGATAAGGAAAAAAAAAATCTAGGTTTTTTCATAAATTTTGACTGATTCACGATTTTTTAAATTGTGTGACTAGTCAACTTAAAACATTACAACAACATGACTGAAGTAACACTCTCTTTATAAGTAACTTGAAAAACCATCTGGTTAAGGAACATTGTGTTTTTAATGGCCATGTCATACAAAAATCGGTCAAGGTGTAAATAAATGTAAAACAAATTCACGAGTTAAATATCGTTGCAGAAGATTTGAATAAAGTGTAAATATTGCAGTTGCAGGAATACAGAAGTAGTTTTTGCAAGTTTTGCTGAACTGTTACGAATTAAATTAAAAATCCTTAATCAAAAAGAGATGTAACCAAAAACGTAACAAAATAACAGGGATTAAAAATATAATCCCTGGTGCCCCCGCGCTCTCTCTCCCCAAAATATACCAAAAACACAACCACTAAGAATTAACAAGAAAATATGATTTATTTACAGAAATAAGGAGCAAAAATAACATCAGGAGGGGTTCAGCCAAAATAAATGACAATAAACCAAGCTAACTAAATTAGATTAAACTTCCCTAGAAAACAAATAAAATAAAATACAGAAAACTTACCTCCCTACTAACAAACACAGGAGAAAACGAAAATAACAAATAAGGCACCAAACCTCCCTACATGCTCCAAGCCCGACAGGGAGACAAACCGGGTTTCAATCGCCGGTTAAAAATTTAACACAACGGCATCTCAATATACAAGCAAACACTCATGGAATCACGTTCTCCACTGAGTACAAGCGGATTGGCCATCAGCTCGGCTTTGACTTTGTCTTCTGATTGAATGACCGGTTGTAAAGCTGCTGCCTTTTTCTTAAAAAGATACAGCGGAAGAAAAGGACTGAACATTAAAACTGTAAAGCCTAATTTCACCCAATGCATAAAGTTGTGGACATATAGCAGGAGCAAATACAAGTACCAGTTGTGTGTCTAATATAAAATATTTATTCTATCTTTCTTTTTCCCCCTTTTGAATACTGATCATTTCATGCACTTTGCAGCTCTGTCTGTATTATGCTGCCGGACTGCATATCTGGGTTTCAACTAGGTCCGGTAAATGACGTCATGGGGACGGGTGCTTTCACTTTTCACTGCTACCTACAGCTGGTCACCTCTGCTCGAGTTCAAACCAAACTAGGATCAGCGCGGTTTTTCACATGACAGGTTTTTACGTCCTTCATACATGTTGAGAGACCGAGTTTATCGACTTGATAAGCGAATATGTCTCGACAATCCACACAGACGTGACTTAGTAAAGCGTGAAGTCATGTAGGATTTTACTTGTTGCATTAGTCTGAATGTAAATCCCCTCGTCAGGCAGCGCTGCAGTAGTGTGAGAGAGTGGACCAAAGAGCGTTTGATGCAAGGGTATTAAGAAAGGAAAAATACACAACTTAAGACAATCGTGTACAATGCTTGTATTTGTTGTAGTTGCACCAGCTCTGCAATGCATACCCACAACTTCATGCATTGCAGTCTCTGTGTTTAGTCCATCACTACCATGATTGAAACCCAGATAGGCAGTCAGTCAGAGTAATACAGAGAGTGAACCACAGCGCATTAGGGCAATTATATTGTAGCGAATATTTTTATTACAAAAAAAAAGAAAAAAAATCACGATACCTCGATTTAATATAAAATTAAATTCTCTTAAAACGTAAATTCGAATTAATCGTAATTTAAAAAAAAAATATATATATAATAATAATAATCGCCCAGCCCTACTTAACGGCCAATCACAGTCATTTTTGTTGAGCACTTGAACACAATGGGAAATCAGCACTGTTTAAGAATGTGCTCAAATATTACCGGAAAATGGATGTTTTTAAAGTCACAGTATCGTAACAAGCCT